ACTGAGTGTGAGTGCATAGAACGTAACCATGGCTTTATGGTTTTTCGCTTTCCACTTGCCCTTCAAAACATTGATGGCCCACTGACTATCCGAGTGTATGACTACTTGGCGGTATGATCTCTCGTGCGCTACAAGCGCTGCTTCGAGGATAGCCGTGAGTTCTCCTGTGTTGTTCGATCCCACTGAAGCTCCACAATATCTGGGGTGATTAGGGTCCGTGGGGACGGGTCCAAAAACGTCCTCCCAGGAATCCTGCAACTTAAGACAGAAACCCTGAACCATCCGTGTAAAGTGTTTGGCGGTATGGTCTGGCGGAGGAGGGGAATCGAGGACTGAGGGAGATCCTCCTTTGAGAGCATCCTCAAAGGCCTGAGTCTGCTCTGCCGTGGGCGCAAGGACCTGGTAGGGCTTGGGGTTAGGGTTGCGCCTAGGGCACTTGACTGAGATTTCCGTGACTAGCGGATAATGATCCGACGCAAAACCACAGCGCAGAATGGACCTGCAAGACTGAATGGAATTGAGCCACTGCCGTCTACGGAGGGTATGGTCCAATTTCTGAAATCGTATAGGATCAACCTGTGGCGGTATGGTCGGGGGTGCCAGAAGGGAAGGGATATCCAGAAAAGATCGGATCCTAAAAGCGATTTCCAGGGCTTGGGGTCTTGCAATCTGCGAGGATTTGGTGTAAAACTGCTGCAACGCTAGAGGGTCCAACACAGACTGTGACCAATCCTGTGGGGGGGGAGGCTGCTTTGTCTCGGTATGTGATTTGCTGTTTAAGGCAAGGAGTTCGACAACTGCAAACCTCCACCATGTTTTCCGGCTTCATGAGATTGAGACAAAGAGTTCGGTTGGAGGAGTCGGAATGGTCAATAGCGTGTGTTCCCTTACCGTAAACGAAAGGTCCTAGGAGTCCCTGGTCCTTGCGATGGCGAGCCTGGAACCTCACGTTAAGGTCTCCTGTCAGGTCCACGGGTTCCGGTTGAGGAATTTTTCCAAGATGGGTTTCCAGTGTTTCCCAAAAAGGGGATCTTTCCTCCTCAAAGTCCAATCCCGCATGTGGAGCATATGCGCCAACGATGTGAAAGGAACCACCCTGTTGACCAAACGTAAGGCGGAGTAGTCTCGGGGAAACCTGCAAAACGTCCTGGAGGTGTGGCCTGAGCCATGGGGAAACGATGGCACCAACTCCTGCGTAGCGGTTTTGTTTTGTCCCCGAAAGGATCACCACGCACCCCTCGGACTGGTAAGAATAATAGGAGGTTGTTCTGGTTTCTGTGAGGATCATAGCTCCCATGCGACTGCAGCTGAGATGAAACGACTGGAACAGGCGATGGGCCTGAACCACCATGCGGGTGGTGTGCTGCTGGATCCGTATCTGGGGCCACGTTTCTTTGGCTCCCTGATGTTCGACTGGATGCACATCCTGTTCGTCACAGGCATCGTGGGCATCCAGTGCGGACTTACTCTGGGCCTTCTGCGTGGAGCAGGCTGGACAACGGAAAGAGTCAATATTTTTTTGAATAGTCTCCGCTTGCCGCACCGGATCCAGAAGGGCGGTTTCCAGGATGTGCTTAGGAAGCGAGACAAACTTGCCGAGCCGGTGCGAGGCAGTGCAAGCGAGCTCCTGAGTTTGGTGCCGCTCCTGCGGTTCTACGTGGAGAAGCGGGTGTTTCCTGGAGCTGACGACGAACTTCGTCGCCAACTGCGGCCTTTCCTACTTTTGGCTGCTTTGGTGCAGACGTTTCGCACTTTGGCCACTCGAGCCGTTGATGCCCGTCTACTGGCAGCATCGATCAAAGAGTATCTGGATCATTTTCTCGCTGTACATGGCGACACCGAATGGGTGCCCAAATTCCATGCATTCATGCACTTGGCCCCGCAGTACCTGCACCACAGATGCCTTCTCAGCTGCTATTGCCACGAGAGAAAACACAAGGTGGTAAAAAAATACACGAACCAGCTGTGCAACTGGACCACCGGTTACGAAAAAAAAACATACTGCAAGACCTCATCGCCAGCCAGCTCAAGAGCATGAAGGATTGGACTCCACAGAACTACACAAAGGTGCGACTACTGGATCCGACGAAAAAGGCACCTGTGCAGCTGGAGCGGCAGGTGACAGAGGCACTGGGCTGTCCTGGACCCTTTGTGGCGAGCTTGGAGACCCTTCACGGAGGAGGATATCCTGTGCACCGAGCAGATTTCGTTTTCGTGTCTGCCAATGGAGACGAAAGATTGGGCCAAGCAGATCTGCATCTGCAAGCTGCAGGCCAGACCTGGACGGTTGTCTCCTTCTGGTCCGGATATTTTCCAAGCTGATGAAACCGCAGGAAAAGCTTTGGTGCCTACGAGCCTCATCCTGCAGACTGTGGCCTACTCCTTGATGGACGAGCAAGTCATAGTTGTCAGAGACGTCTGACTGTTTGCAGAGCGAGAAAATGCAAGGGAAGTCTGCATGGGGCGAAGCCAGCAGAAGCGAAGTAGTCAAGCGACAACTACTGCAGCTTGCTCGCCGCCCTATAGCCCATGAGCCCTGCAGGCGAGCTTGAAGCCCTGCACCGCGAGCAAGGACTAAAGAGGGGATCACAAGAAGCAGTGGCACAGCTTGCGGAAACCGCAGAAACCTCTGGCAATCAAACCCTTCTCAGCGAACTCTCAAGCTCTCGCAATATCTCAGCCCTCTCTGAAGCGATCGACCTTTCGGCCAGGTGCTTCAGCTGAGCTGTGTCGCTCAGCTCTTTCTCGCTCCGGATGCTTGGGTGGGGTCGTTGAATTCAGAGGTTTGTGGGATCAAGAATGCCCCAAATCATGCAATGCTCCTCCTCAAATCTCAGCCCTATATATCTTAAAATATGGTGTTTTAGTGCATGTGAATATCGGACTTAACGTACTTACTAACTTCACTAAGTGCAGTTACATAACTTCAATAAGTGTTAACATAAATCACACAAGTTACTTATTAACTTACTCATCTATATGATAACCCCAACGCCCGGCCAAGTACGTGGTTTTCCCTCAAGGAAAAAAGGTGTGCCATCTTGGAGAAAAATTTTTCTACGACGACCCGAACGGTGCTTCGACTGTGATTGCGGTGTGGTCTGGGAAAGCTGGGGCAAAACAGGGGAAGGGCCAGGGGTATCGCAGAGTCCTCGGTATTGCAAAAGCAGCTGCCTACTATATGTAAGCGGTATGGTCTCTTCCAGTGAAACCCGAACCGAAGCCTGAAGCGAATCCCCATCCCAATGAATCCGCAGCGGAATGTTCCCGTTCACTATGTGCATGTATTTATTATGTTCAGCAAAAGGGTTCCAGGCTTGAGGTGGGGGCTTCAGGAGCAGGCGAAAGATGTACCTAAGTTCAGGACAGCAGATCTTAAAGCTACACGGGCCCTTTGTTTGGCGGTGTGGTCGCCCTAGCCAGACACCTGTCGCTCCTAGGCGGTGGAGGCGAGAGCTGCCTGCCAAAAAAGAGGAGCCTCACACCGCCCAGTGAAAAGCTTCAAAGGGGGCGGTGTGATCAGGAAGATCAGCTCAGCCCACGACCAACCTACTTTAGCGGTGTGGTCGAGAGGTGGCTTTGCGAAAATTCTAAGGCCAACCCATCAGCTCGACTTGGCAGACTTTCCGGAAAGACCGCCTTTTGGGCCACTGCCACGACCCCATGCTGTGCCACGGTCCTCCTGCATCTCCACATGTCTGTGTGGAGGAACGGATCTGGTCCAAGTTCCGCGGCGGTGTGGTCTGGGGCTGCCGGCTTCCCTCTGTAGGTACTGATGGCATAGTCCCCAACCTTCTATGCTGTCTTGCCCTTCTTGTATTCATCCCAGACAAAGGCCACCTCATCGACTTTGACCAAGGTCAAGTTGAAAGGGTACGGGCAATAATAGCTGTTCCAGATCACCGTGTTGCTCCAGTGTTTCTTGCCCTTTCCCTTTGCAACTCCCTTTCCAGACATGGCAGACTCTTGCAAAGCCGTGCGGGCGGCGGTTTGGTCGGCCTGGTCCAGCTCATACTGTGCACCCCAAACCATGTTGTTCCAGGTCTGGGTCCACAGAGACTCCGCTGCCTCCCCCACCTCCGTGGGTGGGGATTCCATGAGGCGTGCCAGCTCGGGCACCACTTCCAAACGACCCACAAAGTCCCCCTTGTCCTGGAAGTAGAACAAGCGGGCCCAGGCCTTGGCGTCTTGGTCAAACTCGTCCTCGTCCTTTTGCGCCATCACTGTCAGAGTTTTCCACAATATCGTCATCTTGCTCCCACCTGCGGTGTAGTCGGGGTGGGTATTGATCACGGACAAGATGATGCGAAGTGGCAGCTCCAACTTGCGCTGCCATTGCGGACTCGAGGGGCTGACCCGAATGTGCTTCCCATGCACAGGGGTACTCTCATCTGAATACAGCGGCGTTCCGGCTGAGCCGCCAAACTTCTCCATGAAGGCTTGCCGAGTGTCCCAGCTTTTGAACGACAAAAGGGTCATCGTTGAGAAAAAGTCGTTCTGCTGCGGGATGGTCGTGGGTCCTGCGTCAAAGCATCGATGTACCTCGGCATCTCATGGGCGGTTTGGTCGGAGATGAAGCCACGGAACTTCAGGAAGTCGACGATGCGCGGGCATTGCGCCAACATCCAGCCCACCATGAAAATACGCTGGTCGGGCTTCATGTAATTTGGCCACCCCGAAGTCAAAACCTGCAGTCCAGCAAGGTGCTTCTGAGCAAGGCGGTTGTCCGCCGAAAGCCACTGCAACTCCTGCCTAGCTTTGAAAACAGACTCGTCCACTGTTTTCAAGGCCGCCTCCAGTTGCAAAACCCGGTTGTACATCTCGGGGCGAATAACTGCACGATGGTACGACCTCATCATCTCAAACACCTGTTGGTTATTCTGAACAGGTTTCGCAAGCCAGTTCTTGATGGCGGTTTGGTCGTTGATATCCACCCCATGCGTAGCTGCGGTAAGTCCCACTGCAGTGTTGTCCTCGAAGGAAAAAGGCTGCAATAGGGAAGGCCCATCCTCCGTTGCCCCTTGCGGTGGCGCCGGTTGGGAGGACTGGGCTCCTTCTTGCGGTGTGGTCAGGCCCGACTGCAAAGGCGTCGGGGCCGACCTCTGGGGCCGACCTCTTGTTGCGCCGTTGTTGCTCCAGGAACTCCTGTTGCACGGCGGTGTAGTCAGGCTGTCTGAAACGACTACGCATATCCTGAAACTGCTGCATAGCGCCCTGATCTGCTGACATGGCTTCGAAGCAAAATGCTCTGAAAACTACTCTACCTGACCGCCCGCCTTAAGCGGTGTGGTCAGAGACCTGCAAGCTTGCAAAACAATCTGGGCCGATATGCCTCCAAGTACCAGTAAAGGATCAGAATCGTCTTTGTAACAGTCGTAGACACAACATTCGCAATCAACCTGTTCAGTAGCACTGCACAAACAATAGGAGTCCGTTTTATTGTGATAGTCACTGTGGTCATAATGATTATTAGCTCGAGCATACTTGAATGCACGTTGCCAAAACCTGTTGTTTTCGACTAGAATGTCGAGCTAAATTGGCTAAATTCTGTTTCGCAACCGGGAGGGGAGGATGATGCTAGAACGCGTTTGGGCAGGATCGGACTGCGAAGCTGTGGAGCCGGAAGCTGATTGTGGACAGAGCAAGAGGTTGTGAGAGCACTCCCGGCTCCCAAGACAGAGATCCAAAAACAGTGAGGCCCTGAACCAAAAAGGTCTCATGCACTAAAGGCACTTGTGCAAGCAGCAGTTTCGGCCTGATATCGAGGTGCTGTAGAATGCCTGACCGGCGCACCGAGGCCTCAGTGACGGCCGCTTAGAGCAGACACTTTGTCACGAGGTGCGCTTGCGGTTGCGAGTTTAGGGCACTCACAAAGTAGAGGGCTCCGGCACACTGCGTACCTAACTTGTTGGCTGCCACTGCACTTCCAGATTTACAATGCTCTACGTGGCTGAGGCAAAACTTGATTCGGATCAGGCTTACCAAGGGCATAGGAAACGCGGCTTCGTTTTTGAAGTTGAAGCGAGGGCACTGGATCCCAGTTCCCTCTCCTCGAAGCTGCTGAACTGCATGGCAGTCCTGGTCTTCTTCGATCGCAGATACAGAGAAGCTATGCCCTTATAGATTTCACCGACTCGCCCCGCGCTTTGTTTACCTCGCCTGGGCCCTTTAAGGCTTCTCTAGGCTTGGCGCATGCCCCTAATCCCTAGTAAGCCAAAACTCTGTTCTGCATGGCAGGAGTGGGTGAGGCATGCTGCCTTCTCGCCCGATGCCTCGCAGGCCTGTGCTGCAGAGCTGTAGGTGACGCACCTTCTTTTTTTGAGAAGCTCTGGGTATCATTGAATTGTCTTTTGGTGCATGTGCGATAGGGCAGCACTGATAGCTCTCGCTTACTTCGGGTGAAAGAGCATCGCATTCAAAAATTGAGGTGATGATTCGGTTGAGATCTTACGGTTTGGCTGAAGATGTCTTCTGAGGTCATAACCTCCGTCAGCGACAGCACTGCCATTTTGTGGGATGCCGCCACTGGCGCGTCCGACCCTCAGGAGATGAAGGCATCCAAGGCGGGGCTCAGAGTCTCCGAACCCCGATCGACATCGTAGGAGGATTAGGGAACTTAGTGAGTAGATGCATGCGTACCGTAGTTGGTGTTTGAGAAGTAGTTGAAAGTACCGCGATCTTACTTATGGCCCTAGGTCCCTCGATCCTTTCAGTACTTACCAGACCCTCAACCTCATCTCCGAAGCCGAGGTGTTTGATGGTGTTTCGAGGCCACGCAGATTGGATTCGCTCGGGCCTCAGTTTGTAAATCGATTTGAGGTTGCTGCGCAAGAGCCCAGAACCAAAGACTCCCAGATCCCTTCATCCCAAGTCCCTTGTTGATCCTCATCGTAATTTAAGCAATATTCCTCAGCTACACGACGAGCAGGTTCTCTGTGCGTCGAGGTCAAGGTCGTGATTTAGGCTAGCTCACGTTTCCTGCTTCCCACTACAAACTGCTTCTGCGCATCCCAACACCAAAGAGCGGACCGTGTTGGCTGCGACCAAAGAATTTCGAAAGGAAACAGGTTCTCTAAGTCTCCAACACTTGAACCAGTGACATGTCCAGGGCTTGTCGGCTTCGTCACAGCCTTGCAATGAAAGCCGAGTAGATTCGGCTTTTGACCCCAACAGCAACAGCGACAACTCCAAAGCGAAAGCCTGCAATCCCAAAACGCGAGATTGAGTCGAACAACGGGTTCGCAGATGATTTCTGGTAGTAAGTTCTTTGCACCCCTGCCCCTGCAGATTCTTCCGGGACATCCAGAAGCCCGACATTGGACAGACGCCGGAACCGAAACAGAACACCAGCCAAAGCAATGTCAAGGCGTGGAAGTTGAACCACGACACAGGGCACAAGGAATCTGCTCCCTGCGATGCCGGGACACCTGCAGACAGCGCAGCACCTGTACACCAAACAATCTGACAGCAGGACTCCACGACTCGGGAAACCGGAGAAATCGGATGTCGCACCGTGTCCTGGAGGGACTCTGGGACAACCGATATCGGGCAGTGGGATGATAAAGCGTGAGAGTTCTGGTCTGGACCCAAAACGTGGCTACTAGTATGGGAAACAGCTGACTGGATTCCGGAAAGCACAATGTCAATGTTTTTGCATGATGCCTTGAGGTGCCGATGCGTCAAGACTCGAGTTATATAGCACATGTTCAGAACTCTCCAAATCAATAATCGCCATTGGCCCACGAGTTTGCGAGCATGGGGTTGATCCACGCGACGTTGACAACAAACCCTTAAACATCAAAAATGTCGGGCAATCGCGCACACTCCCCGATTGGAGCACAAAAGCACCGACACGCGTTGATTGGCAAGTTTTTGAGTTTGAAGTGCAGGGAATGCTTGCTTCTCGTCCGATGGGAAATTCGCTGGGAGCTCAGGGACAGATGCAATCCCGCCACGGTTGGTTCCACAGCATTGGTGACGGTCCATTGGGCTCTCCAGCTGCAGGGGCATGTGGTCTACGAAGCGATACGATGATCAGCTTGGATGTACCGTACGCAAGCCTCTGGAACTTAGTGTGGGTATATGGCAAGTCGCCGTGGTCCAAAGCTTGGATGGTTGCATCTGCTTAAGTGCCCTTCGCCCCACCCCTGTAAGCTGCAAATCTTGCACATTCCGAAGCGTAGGCATATCCCATCAGCTAAGTCATGGCGTCGCAGAGGTGGCCACCGCCTCCAAAGATGCATGCGCAAAGGTCTGGAGTCTTTCCACTGGCACAGTCCCCAGAGTGCTTCAGGGTTGCAGATTCGATGTAATGCCTTTGTGCTGCTTGTGTGGGTCGGGATGAACGCTGACAGTGTGTTGTTTTGCGGCAGCGGCTGCGAGTTCACACACCATATCCTGCGCGGGTCGAAACTTCAATGGACGAATTGGGCGGGACACCTTAGTTTCATTGTAGACACATCCAATGCGAGTTTTCGGAAAGCCTATGTCCTACGGTCGCCTCACAGCGTCGGATCGTAATCGTCCACAGAGTAGAATCCAGCATATGATCGTTCTTTTTGCAAGAGTCTGCTTTGGACAACAGCGCAGGACGACCGATGCAGACTTTCCTCTATACTCTATGCTAGTGCCAGGCCCTTTTGCGGGTGCTTTACAGCATCACTGTCCAGCCTTCGGGCCTGAATGCCTCCCTCAAACAACTTGGATGCTAGGTTCTGAACTTGCGACAAGAACAGCCAGCCCGACCGAGACCGCATCAGTACATGCAGTTGCTGCGTACGCATGTTGGTTGGATCTTGTCGTGTCGGAATCCACAGCACCCAGCTGAGCGAACTTCGCGCCGCACGAACGAGCACCATGCACGAACGCTTGGCGGCGCTGCATTTCTGTGAAGAAAGGGGGGTTGCTCGTGTTGGCGCTCGTTTTGGAACCTCGGACCGTTCGTGTGCTCTTTGCGTCCTGGACTGCCAGCGAGATTTACTGCTTCCACACCCTGGCCCGAATTCCAGGAGACTCATTGTTTCTCGCTGATGTTCATCCTCCTATAGACACTAGAACCGGAACCTTCTCAGGAGATTGCCTGCGCACCGTCACTGGTCACAACCAGTGGGTCGGGGCCCTGATTCTCGAGTCCCAGGCTGTAGAGCTGCGTAACGCATGGAGTATTCGTCACTCAATTCAACTACCCGAACTTTAAGGCCGTTGCTCGCTAGGTTCAACAGGATCGATTGCACACGTCCTTCGGCTGACGTATCTGTTCAAACAGTGTTCAACAAGATCCTGGTCCAGAGGTTGGATTCTCGCAATTCGAAACTTGCCTATGGAGTCGGTACTTGCAACTGGGTGATCCTGAAAACATGAACGACTCGAATCTTACACGTCCCGCTGTTCAATTCAATGCAATGTCTGGACGGGTGCCAATTCACCTGGCAACTGAATGGATTTGCCGTTCAATCCCAGCAAAAGTTGCTCTTGCAAGGAAATCAATCGCCCCCAAGTAGGCAAAGCGGCACTCTTCAGGTAGGGAGACACACAGGTCAAGACGGCCATGCAACGGCAAGTGACACAGTGCGCATCAAGTCTTCCATTTCAGACACTCCCGGCAGATGGAAACGCAGGTGCGATGTGTTGCTTTCGCGCCGTGAGCTCAGGGACTCCAGCATGCGGCCACGCTTTTGGTGGGTTTTGAGCTTTGGGCACTCACGGCCTGAAAGGTGAGTCCGCAGTTCGGGTTTGGGCGTGGCTTGCGACTGCTCGGCGACCGATCTTCCGTGAGGGACTTCTTTGGAGAACTTTTCGGAGTGCCAGGTGATTGTTTCTTTGACGATTCCTCAGTTCTGTCAGAAAGCCAGTGTAGTTGATACTGCAATTGAGCTGTTCTCCGAATCCACATCTTGCAGCCAATGTCCAAGCAAGTCTCACGGCTGCCTCCTTAAGACCCAACTTCATCGTTTGTCACAGTCTTGATTCCCGCACGACATGTCCGGTAGTGAGCTGTACTGGTAGCTGTTTGCAATTCTTCACTGTGTTGGATGTCCTGGCTATGCGAGACGGTGTTTCGTCTACCTGTCGACACAAATCCTTTACAGGTTTCAGCCATCCATCAGCGACACCAAGGGCATGCTTTGAGGGAAAACACCTCCAAAAAAGATTCTCGGTGGCTTCTTCTTGCCTTGCAAACGATGGACGTCTCGAGCGGTCCCGTTCTCGATGAACTGAGTCTCGATTCT